GTTACCAAGATTTATTTGTTTCCAAATGAAGAGGTGAATGACCCCATGAAGTCGATGCCCCAAACATAAAAAAATCTCACAAGTGATATAAAAAGTCCGGGGCATCTCATTCCGGTCAGAGATGTTACCTGAGCGTTGCCAGTTGTCGCAACACTGAACAAACTCATCAGCGTCCTTGAATAGCAAGGGCCATAAAAAAACTCAATTGGAGCACCTTCCTGGCAGTTCGGTTACCCCGGTGGTGTCCCCCAGTCGGTCCTTCATGGAATTGGACAAGGATAGCTTGCATCTCTCCCTCTGGGATGCAACACATGATGACACCGTCGGCTCCTACCCGAAAAATATGGGGATCATACCAGAAGTAGAAATGATGGTCAGAGAAGAAGTTCCTCCTCACTTGAGTGCTCATTCATCTAAGAAATTGTCTTCTCACCAAATAATTGGTAAAATCGGCGAACCAAGACGTAGTGCTCTCCATCATAGCCAACACAAACAATCTCTCATTGGGGAATAATTAATTGATCTCCCTATGAGAGGGATCCACCGAGGGTCCTTCAAGTCGGGAGAGATGATCCACGACCAAATTCTCGACCCCTTTCTTAATCTCAATGTCAAACTCTTGCAAAAGTAGTATCCATCGAGTGAGTCGGGGTATGACATCGGCTTTGCTCATCAAAAACCAAATGGTTGAATGGTCAGTGTAGATGATCACCTTTGATACCACAAGGTGGGACAGAAAGTTATTAAATGCAAAGATGGCTGCCAAAAGTTCTTTCTCAGTGGTGTAGTTCTCTTGTGGCCCTTTCAAGGTCTTTGAAGTATAACATATAGGCCGAAAGTATTTGCCTCTCCTTTGTCCTAACACCGCTCCTACTGTATAGTCATTTGCATTGCACATCAATTTGAATGGGAGTTTCTAATCCGGTGAGACCATGATTGAGGCATTAGTGAGCTTTGTCTTCAAGATGTCAAATGCCTCGAAGCACTGATACAAATAGTGCATCCTTCTCGAGAAGTTTTGTCAACGGCAAAGCATAAAGTTCTCAATAAATTGTCGATAAAACCTTGCATGCCCAAGGAAGCTCCGGATCCCCTTTACGGACATTGGAGGTGGAAGCTTGCTAATGGTATCAACCTTTTCCCTATTAACTTCAATACCTCTCTTTGAAATCTTGTGTCCCAATACAAAGCCTTCGCGCACCAAAAAATGAGACTTTTCCCTACTAAGATCCAAATTCGTCTCTTCACACCTCTTTAGAATCTTCTTCAAATTGGCAAGGCATTGGGAAAAAGATTCCCCAAAAACCAGGAAGTCATCCATGAAGACTTCCAAATTTCTCCTACAAATTTTTCAAAAATCGCCACCATGAATCTTAGGAATGTGGCCGAGTAATTACACAAGCCGAATGGTATGCGCCGATACACAAAGGTATGGAAAGGGAAAGTGAAGGTTGTCTTAGCTTGATCTTCTGGGGATATTGGAATATGGAAGTACATCCTGTCCAATAAACAATAGAAGTCTTGTCCCGCTAGCCTTTCAAGAATTTGATTTATAAAAGGTAAGGGGAAATGATCCTTCCTAATTGCATCATTCAACCTTCGATAATCAATACACACTCTCCACCCTGTTACGGTCCTTGTAGGAATTAACTCAATTGGTCGATGGTGGTCGGTTGTTCAACTTGTTTTGGCTTCTCCACCTTCATCTTCGGGAAAGGTGCTTCTCTAGCCTCCTTTCCACTATGGAGTGTCACAGCTTTCATTTTGGATTTTGTAACTCGTTTCCCAGAAATGGTAGCTTGCATGATGATGCCCATTAGAGTGGATAAGTTCATCAAAGATTATTGGCGACTTTGCTACCCTGATTCAATGGATGAAAATTTCACAGATTCTTCTTTCATAAACTTTTCAATCTTCTCGAACATTTGTGACCTTGTAGTCACAAAATCTTTAGGTTTGGAAATTCTGCCATGTTGCGATTGATAAGAAAGAGAGGTCATGGCTTAAATCAGAGGCTCTTGATTATTTGGTGCTACCCATGCTTGGACCGAGTGAACATTCCACCCCAGATTATGCAACTCGCCACATGGATTATTGTCACTAACAGATCCCCTAGCACCCGTTATGGCATAAACTTGCTCTTCCGTGGTGCTTGTCTCCCTCATGAGTTGACATTCTTCAACTTCATGGTTAGGACTTGAACACCAATCACAAACCATAACCGAGCTCTTCGCTTGCTTGTTATCACGCAAGATCACCTAAATCAACTCATTAATCTTTGCAAAAGTGAAGAAGTTGATTCAGTGGAGTGCACTCCCCTCTCTCGGATCTTCCTTCCATGCCTTGTCATCTCCCAATCAAGAGCCCTTAGTATCCATTTCTTCAAACAATGTTGTCATTTCGGTGGAGTCTTGTTAAGCATATTCCCTTGGCATAAAGAATCAATAAGTGCCTGATCTTCTTCGCAGAGACCATTGTAGAATGCCTCAATCCAGAATTTATCTCCAAAACCATGGTGTGAACATTGGTCAAATAGTTCAGAGTAATGCTCCCACGCATCCCTTAAAGTCTCGTCATCCTCTTGAGTAAAGTGAGTGATCTTCTTCTTAAACTCCACCATTTTAGATGGCGAGCAATAACGATTCATGAACTTGGTTACCAAATATCCCCATGATGTTATCGAGAGCAGAGGCCTGTTATTGAGCCAACTCTGTGCCTTGCCACTAAGTGATTAGGGAAAGAGTCTCAGTCTAATGGCAACTTGAGGCACCCCATTGATCTTAAAGCCATCCATCAAATCGTAAAATCGGTTGATGTGCTCCTTGGGGGTTCGTCTTCAAGTCCAATGAATTGGATATTGTTCTGAATCATGGTGATGAGGCCCATCTTGATTTCTACGTTACTGGCTTCCACGGGCGGGTGAAGAATGCTCAACTGGATGTCGGCCACCAGTGGAGACATGTAATAGTCCATCGTCCTGTCTGCATCATCTCCTTGCTAAGCTTCGTTCATCATCTCAAGGTTTTCAACTTGTGGTCGTCCCCGAACCACGAGCCTTTCTCTTGCTTCCCTCAAATCCCTCTCCCGAACTAGGAGTCGGAGAGTACGATTGATGTTATCGTCGAGCGGTGCCAAAGGTGTCGAGTTGCTCAGGGTCATACACCTCCTGCACACACTTCCAAAATACCACACAAGACAAGACAAGCAAGAGCCAAACTCCAAAAACCTTGACTCGACTACCACTACACTTAATCTTAACTATACGCCAAGTGCAACCTATTGACGGGTTTAGGATAGGGCAAGTATTTCAATATCAACCCGAGCAGTCTATCTATTCTTACTTTAATTGTTCACGCGTTATTTAGCGATCTTTTTGTGGTTAAAGCTAGAAGACTAAACAAATTAAACAAGCAAGTAAACTTTGAAAAGTTAGATTGAGAAAGAATCACTCGAATATTGCTCCCCCTAGTCTCGTGTCAAGATATAACGATTGAAACTCTAGTGTGATAAGTAGGATCACATACCATGAGGAGGTTGCAATTAGCTAGGGAAACCCTAAGCCTCTCAATCGATCGATTAAGGATTATCACAATTGTCTAGGAAACCCTAAGCTCTTAATCGATTGACCAAAGATTGCAAAATGGTCCCTCGGAAGATAAACTGGAACGACGAAAAAGTAACCAATCAAGACGATATCATGGCACTACTTGGATGAATGAGGAATGACCCGAATTGCCCTAGAGAAGGTTATGTAAATTGCCAAGATTGGGCTATAAGGGGATTTCCTCCTTCTAGGTCAACTAGTCCCAAAATTGAGATATGAACAATCAACATCCAAATTCCATAAATGATACCTAAAACATTATATTAATCACAAACCCAACACACATAGAGTTTAATTCCTACAATCTAACACAAATTAGGGTTCACAATATCAAAGTGAAATTTGAGACTACTCCATAGCTAGAGAAGAAAACACAGATAAGAGAGAAGAAAAACCCATGTCAAGATGATCTTCATTCCTCTTAGATGCTTGATTAAAACTTCGGAGAAGAAATCAACCTTCCTCTAGCCTTGGGTAGGTGAAGTTCTCTTTCCTTCTTCCTTACCTCGTAGCTCTCTCTCTCTCTCTAGGACTCCTCCCGTTTGAATTCAGCCAACTCTCCCTTATATAGGTCCGGAGTCCATAAATCACGGTCTCACATCACACCCATAAAGTCGATAGTGAAAACGTGATCCTGGCGCAAAACGCACCGTTTCACTAACGAACTTCACAGACAGTTGTTGACCACATGGTTTTTAGACCGTGATCTTGACACTGCCCCCGAGCATAATGAAACCTCCTAGAACCTCGAGAACTTTGCTATGGGAGTGTTGACATCACGGTCTGAGCCCGTAATAATTGCTCCGCACCAGTGATCTCTGCACTTTCAGCCAATTTTCTCCATTTTCACCTCTTCTATCCGAATTTTGAACTTGGTGCCAAGATTACCTGCTTAGGTCTGAAACATGACAAAAAATGAAGAAACCCTGTGTAGACTAGCTCCAAGGATGGCGCAAACACATCCAACGTCATAAGTTAAATTGGCGCAAAAGTGTGTAATCTAACCAGAATCAAATTCCATGGAAATGACCCCAAAATTTTATATGTTATATATAAAGAGGGTCAAATCTCTCTGGTTAACCATAACCATACCCCTTAGGTACTTTGGAATCCCAATGTTGGTGAGGATCTTATTCTTAGTTTGAAAATCGAGTTTGGGTTTGGGGTTCTCTGATCTTTGTAAACGTTTTGTAAAATAAAAGGAGGCAGAAAACAAAATTACAAGACCCTAAAAGAGGAAGGCAATAAAGGGAGGAACTATATAGACAAAGCTCCCCATAGAGTTTTATTAAATGCATATTAGAGGGATGTGAGACATATAGCCACCATATATATATATATATATATATATATATATATATATATATAACTAAACGAATTCACGCATATTCACCTACTCAATATTCTCCATTGTCATACCATTGACTGTGGATGTCTGACTCGCTATGACACAACTCCTAACAATGGCCAAGTGTAACCAATGAAAGGGACTGCAATATAGTGGCTCAAGTAATAAATATCGAATCCACGGGTCTCTAGAGTTACTATTACTCAGCTTTAGTTCATTATCTAGCAAACTAGATTAAGATGGAAGAACTAAAACTACTCTAACAAACTACAGTTAAAGTTAATCTAATTACAGGTTGGGAACTCACTTAGGTATGATTCCCCCAAGCCACTAGCCAGATTAATGATTGATGATCTCTAACTTGTTTCACTTTCATTCACAATGCGGAGAATCCTTGACTAAAACTTGAATCTCGACTAAAGGATCAAGGCCTTCTTGAGTCAATTGCCTAGAGGGACGTATCCTTCTCTAGAACAACCGATCAAGGCGTTCTGAACTAGATTCCCTCTATTGAATGAGGTTCTCAATCGATACAAAGCATTGAATCAACCCTCGACTAAAGCAATCGATCCAATACTATCAATCTATGGTGCTCTATTGACCTAATCAGGTATTCGCTCTCATAGGATCAAAGCAGAATCAATAATCTCGACTAAAGCATAATTGAATCATGAAAACATGCATAGATTGAATATGAACTCAAGATTATCAAGTAAGAGTACTCATACAATCATCCAATCAAACAAACATAACTAGGGTTCCTCAAAACCTAAGCGAAGGGAAGTTACTCCATAGAGAAGAGAGAGACTGCAGTAAGAATCTTCAGATGATCAGTCTTCAGGTCCGAGCTTGTTCCTCGAGCTTCCAAGGCGAAGAAATCCTCCAATTACACTCCAAGAATGCCCTCAAATCACCCTCTCTCTCTTTGGTTCGTCCCTTGGGTGTTTGGGATCCAAAACCCAGCTCCCTCTCTGCAAAAATGCACAAAACAGGCTTTTAACAGCCTGCGTTCGCGATCCCCGGTCATAATCCCTGGTCGCGTATTTCGGGTGCCCAGCCGGGGATTTCGAAACGCAGCGCAGCGTTACAGGGGATAATACTGATGACTCGGTATTTGCACATGTTTTCCCCTTTGTTTCTTGATTGTTTGAGCTTGAATTATTGCGTCTTTGGCCTATTTTATGCTAGGTTGTGTTCCTTTGTCCCATTTCAGGTCCTAGCACATAAAGTGAAGCATAGGCGCAAGTTTCAAGTCAATCAGAGATCAATTGACGATTCGAGAGAAGAAACTCGGGCATGACTTGAAGAAGAATGGATTTCTACCTCACTTTATGGACAAAGAATCATGCAAGCTTGTAATGAAACGAAATAGGACGAGACTACGAGCGTCTGGGATCAAACGGCGATTGATTCGGAGTCCGGACGAGGGAGAAACGAAGCATTAAACAGAGGCTGAGCAAGCTGCACGGGCAGACCAGCGTGGCCACGCACGGCCGTGCAAGTGACCAGTTTGGCCGTGCGGGATTGTGCGTGGGCACGCACGGGATTGTGCGTGGCCACGCACGGCCGTGCAACATACAATTCTGGCCGTGCGAGTTGGCTGAGGTTCAACTAATTGATACGCCGCGTTTTGAGGTGCACGGCCAGAATGGTGATGTGCACGGCCGTGCACCCTGGCCGTGCGAGTCGGGATTTCCTGGTTTTAAGCCAAATTCCGAACCAAAGACGAGAGAGCTGGGTTTTGGATCCCAAACACCCAAGGGACGAACCCTAGAGAGAGAGAGCGACTTGGGAACATTCTTGGAGCTATTTTGGAGGATTTCTTCGCCATTGGAGCTCGGGAATCAAGCTTGGAGATGGAGATTGAAGATCTAGATCAGATTTCTGCAGTCTCTCTCTTCTCTATGGAGTAACTTCCCTTCACTTAGGTTTTGAGGAACCCTAGTTCCATGAGTTAGGATCTTTCTTGTATGAAGTTTTGGATGCTATATTGTTTGATTATAATCGAATGATGCATGTTTATTGAGTCAATTGAAGTCTGATCAACTTTTCCTGATTTCTGCTGCAATCTGAGATAGATAGAATCTGATTAGGTTGCTAGAGTCTCATCATTCGGTAGTAGGAGATTGGCTATACGAGAGTTAGCCAGTTTACTGCTTTGTACTGGAATCCAATTCCAGTAGTGGAGTTCTGTGCTTATTGCTTCAGCTTTCTATCCCGGTGAAGACTAGTCGTCTGCCGGATAGTTAGACTGAGAGGGCTTGGTCGGCTTAAGAGATTCCAAGCTACTGTCGGATCTTCCGCAGTTTAATCAACAGTAAATCAACCAAAATGAATTACAACTTGGACCTAATTGAGGAGCTAGGGGGAATCATACCTAAGTGAGTTCCCAAACTGTAATTAGTAGTTTTACTTAGTTTAGTTAGTAGAGTAGTTTAGTTAATCAATCCTTAATCTAGTTTGCTAGATAATGAACTGAAGCTGAGTAATAGTAACTCTAGAGACCTGTGGATTCGATATTTATTACTTGTGCCACTATACTGCAGTCCCTTTCATTGGTTACACTTGGCCATTGTTAGGTGTTGTGTTTTGGCGTGTCAAGTTTTTGGCGCCGTTGCCGGGGACTTTCTAGAGTATTAGGAAAGGCAGAAGTTTGTTACTTTAGCGTTTTTTTCTTTTCTTTTCTTTTCCACCCTTGCTTTTCACTTGGGTGTTTTTGTTTTTTTTGTTGGTGCAGATCTGAATCATGGATCCTAATGGCTTCTCCAACCAGTGGGGGTATCCACCACCATCCGGGTGGTATTACCCCGCGACCCCCTACAGCAATCAAGGAGGAGAAGACTATGGATTCGGGTTCCAGTACCAACCCCCTTTCTACGGAGAACAACCAGACCCCTGGGCATATCAAGAACAATCTCCTTATCAAGAAGAATTCCTCCCACAACAAGAAGGGCCATCGGATCTGGAGTTACCCATGGCGGCCTTCACGGGCCATTCTGCAGAGCCATGCTACACTCCACAGCCAGATCCAAACTATGAATTGAGGCTTCTCGTGGAGCAGATTGCTCGAGTACCTGAGAGATCTTTTCCCGAGATGGATCCTCATATCCAGGCCATTGCCCAAACTGACTTTTCCTTCCCCCGTGAAACAGAGGATACCATCCGGAGCATAAAGAAGCACCTAGAGGTCATTGAGAAAGCTTGTTCACAGTTTTCTCAAGACAACCTTTATGATGCCATACAAGTAGAGGAGGAGGAAGAAAAAGGCAATCATGAGGATGTTGAGGAGCATACAGAAGTTGTCACAGAAAGCTCCCATGATAATCATGATCAAGTGTATCCTTTGGTGGTAGATCACAACTTTCACCATTTCCGCTCTGACATGCTGGGCTCGAGTAAGGAGATGCAAGCTGAACTTATCGAGAACCTTGCATGGAGACTTGCTCTCCAATTCGTGCTGGAAGAAGAAGAGCAAGAAAGGGTGCAGAAAGAAGTTGTGGAGGATGACAAAAGTGAAGCAGAAGGAGTTCTTGATCTTTTCTCAGGGGTGATACCACATGAAGAAGAAAGGGGGGTTGAAAAAGCAATTGGCGTCCAGGCTGAGGATGAAGTTGAGGTGGAAGAGGCATGCACCGGCCATGAGTTGCAAGTAATATCCCCACCAAACTTTGAGGAACTGCTTGGCAAGGACCCATTTGCAGTGTCTCTTTGCCAGACCAAGGCCACATCGACATCGGCCCCTCTTGGTGGACGCGATGGTGGCCAATCGATGCTGTCATATCTGGTTTGGGGCAATGAGACGAGAGAAGAGAAGAAGAGGTCTCGAGGGTGGAGACTTCATCTGCATCAAGTACATGAGCCTTCATCACCTGCCACACCACATGCTCATGACTTGCGACTCCACCTCATCGACGAGAACCTCAACTTCAAGGAGGTTCTAGCATGGACCGAAACTTAGGAGCCATCGTCCGGCTCACGACGTGAAAGAAGCGCTTGTTGGGAGGCAACCCAACCAGTCGGTTTGCATTTTTTTCTCTATTTCTCTTCGGTTGAGTCAGTTTTGTTCTTTGATTTCAGAATCAATAACTCAACCTTTGTGAGATTTTGTGTGGTGTTTGTGTTCTGATTACTCTCTCTTCCTGGAATGCACTGCCTGACCCGTACATCATCATTCACCCTTGATCTGGTAACTTCGTTCTACCCTCCTTATCTTTCCTCCATTGAGGACAATGTCGTGCTTAAGTGTGGGGGGGTGTTCGATTATGTATGCGGGTGAATGTTTGGCTGTTTGTGTGCTTGGAGCCTAGTCCACTGTCCAAATTTTTAAATTTGAGGGCTCCAAGTACGTGTTTCCATGCAATTGCCTGCTCAGTATGCTTTGAATTGACAGTCTTTACAGTAATATGCAACCTAGGGAGGTAGTGTAGCACTATGGAGGATGTTGATGCATTTAAGAAGTCTCATTTCTTCTTCATATAAAGTTGGTTGATTGAGTGAATTAGTGATCTTAGGACCCTTGAATTGTGTGATGTTGTGGATTTTTTACCTGTCATGGACTCTTGTATCATGTTTTGAAAATAGCAGGTGCTCGAAAATGTGCTTCAAAATAACGTCTCCCGTGCGAATAGGGCGAAAGTGTGTAAGGGGAGACGGGAATTCGTTCCCAATTTCCACCTACTACCTCCAGCCCCCTTACATGTCTTTCCCCCGCACGAGGCTCGAGACATCCGCTCCTGGCATGGCCGGTAAGAGCAGGTTGGGACCCTTGAAAAAGAAAAGAAAAGAAAAATATCAGAAAACAAGCAAAACAAAAAAAAAGGGGTCTCAACCATCTTCAAGAAGCAGAAAATAGAGCACCTTGAAAAATGTGAGTCCATGATCTGTTGTTTTTGAGAATCTCCTCATCCACAATTCATTTGTCCTCTGTTCACTATTTGCCATGATGCCGACTCGCCGAAGAAGTTATGAGATGACTTGTGCGTCGGTTGACCTCGTAAGCTGCTAAATGATCTAGGAAGTCCTCTACCTACAATCTGGGTTGTTTGTTGCTATAGAGGTCTGGAGAGTTGCATTGGTTTGAGTTAGGTTTGCTTGGGGACAAGCAAACAGTTAAGTGTGGGGGGATTTGATGACTCGGTATTTGCACATGTTTTCCCCTTTGTTTCTTGATTGTTTGAGCTTGAATTATTGCGTCTTTGGCCTATTTTATGCTAGGTTGTGTTCCTTTGTCCCATTTCAGGTCCTAGCACATAAAGTGAAGCATAGGCGCAAGTTTCAAGTCAATCAGAGATCAATTGACGATTCGAGAGAAGAAACTCGGGCATGACTTGAAGAAGAATGGATTTCTACCTCACTTTATGGACAAAGAATCATGCAAGCTTGTAATGAAACGAAATAGGACGAGACTACGAGCGTCTGGGATCAAACGGCGATTGATTCGGAGTCCGGACGAGGGAGAAACGAAGCATTAAACAGAGGCTGAGCAAGCTGCACGGGCAGACCAGCGTGGCCACGCACGGCCGTGCAAGTGACCAGTTTGGCCGTGCGGGATTGTGCGTGGGCACGCACGGGATTGTGCGTGGCCACGCACGGCCGTGCAACATACAATTCTGGCCGTGCGAGTTGGCTGAGGTTCAACTAATTGATACGCCGCGTTTTGAGGTGCACGGCCAGAATGGTGATGTGCACGGCCGTGCACCCTGGCCGTGCGAGTCGGGATTTCCTGGTTTTAAGCCAAATTCCGAACCAAAGACGAGAGAGCTGGGTTTTGGATCCCAAACACCCAAGGGACGAACCCTAGAGAGAGAGAGCGACTTGGGAACATTCTTGGAGCTATTTTGGAGGATTTCTTCGCCATTGGAGCTCGGGAATCAAGCTTGGAGATGGAGATTGAAGATCTAGATCAGATTTCTGCAGTCTCTCTCTTCTCTATGGAGTAACTTCCCTTCACTTAGGTTTTGAGGAACCCTAGTTCCATGAGTTAGGATCTTTCTTGTATGAAGTTTTGGATGCTATATTGTTTGATTATAATCGAATGATGCATGTTTATTGAGTCAATTGAAGTCTGATCAACTTTTCCTGATTTCTGCTGCAATCTGAGATAGATAGAATCTGATTAGGTTGCTAGAGTCTCATCATTCGGTAGTAGGAGATTGGCTATACGAGAGTTAGCCAGTTTACTGCTTTGTACTGGAATCCAATTCCAGTAGTGGAGTTCTGTGCTTATTGCTTCAGCTTTCTATCCCGGTGAAGACTAGTCGTCTGCCGGATAGTTAGACTGAGAGGGCTTGGTCGGCTTAAGAGATTCCAAGCTACTGTCGGATCTTCCGCAGTTTAATCAACAGTAAATCAACCAAAATGAATTACAACTTGGACCTAATTGAGGAGCTAGGGGGAATCATACCTAAGTGAGTTCCCAAACTGTAATTAGTAGTTTTACTTAGTTTAGTTAGTAGAGTAGTTTAGTTAATCAATCCTTAATCTAGTTTGCTAGATAATGAACTGAAGCTGAGTAATAGTAACTCTAGAGACCCGTGGATTCGATATTTATTACTTGTGCCACTATACTGCAGTCCCTTTCATTGGTTACACTTGGCCATTGTTAGGTGTTGTGTTTTGGCGTGTCAAATACCCGAAAGACATCAAGAATACCCGATCGAGTATTTTTGCTCTCTGGCCGGGACCCCTTCTGTTTCTAGACGTCCAAAATCGATTTTCCCTGGCCTCTCTTAGCGATTTACCCGGTCGGGTATCATTACTCATGGATGGGTATTTTGCTCCTCCAGCCCCCTTCAATTCAAACGTCCTCCTTTTGATCCGAAACTCGTTTCCTCGCCTTAATGTCAATGCCAAGCCCTAAAATATGACATAAACACACAACCTAGCGTGAAATCTGCTTAAAACACAAGAATCTCTTCTCCAACGGCTCAAGAATAGGGGTATAAACATGTGTAATTATTGGTCTATCAAATTTCCCCACACTTAACCGTTTGCTCGTCCCCAAGCAAACCTAACTCAAACCAATGCAGCTCTCCGTACCTCTATAGCAACACACAACCATAATAGTCGGTAGAGGATTTCCTAGATCATATAGCAGCTTACGAGGTCAACTGGTATTCTAAGACGTCCCCTATCTCTCTCAATGCGAGTACTAGACTCAAACCAGGATCATGAGAAGAAATGGAAGTAAGACAACCAGTTCTTGGATAAAGGGACTCACACCATTCACAACCAAGGAATCATTGTACCGGGGGTGCTCTTTCACTTCATTTCACCGTTGGAACCCCTTTTTCACTTTCATTTTACTTTTCTTTTTTTGTTTCTTTTCATTCACTTGGAGAGGGTTCCAACTGCAGTCTTTTGCTCGGTCAACCCTTATTAGTCGAGCAAGAGCAATTTTTGTACATCTGGTGCTCGCCAGATTACTTCTTTTAACTCCTTTTCCTCAACTCGTGTGGAGGGTCAATGAAATTAAGGGGGGTCAGAAGCTCTATCCGTGCCCTTAAAAAACACATCCTCGAGTAGGCAAACCGTTCAACAGGTGAAAATTTTACTTGTACTAGAGACAGCTTAGCTTCACCTTGTAGGAGTACCCCACTAAAGATCAGTAAAATCTCTTCCAAAACCCGATTTTGTGCAATGAACGGTGCCACACACGTTAGGCTTACCCCATGTTTAAGATTTCAATGTTTTCGACATGGAGGACCAACTGCTTTTCATTTCGCACATGAGCACCCTGTTCGATACACGAGCCCATAACACAATTCAAACAGAGTCACCATTACTACATGAATTCAACGGTCTTAACTCCACTAATTCCCAAAATCAACCAGCACAGCAGAGAGCTAGATAGGAAAATCTTATACTTCAACATCCTCCATAGTGATACACTACCTCCCTAGGTTGCATATTACTATCGATACTGTCAATTCAAAGCATACTGAGCAGGAAATTTGCAAGGAAACACGTACTTGGAGCCCTCAAATCGAAATTTGGACAGTGGACTAGGCTCCAAGCACACAAACAGCCAAACATTCACACACATACATAATCGAACATCCCCCCACACTTAAGCACGACATTGTCCTCAATGGAGGAAAGATAAGGAGGGTAGAACGAAGTTACCAGATCAAGGGTGAATGATGGTGGATGGGGCAGGCGGTGTATTCCAGGAGGAGAGAGTAGTCGGAACACAAACACCACACAAAATCTCACAAAGGTTGAGTTATTGACTCTAAAATCAAAGAACAAAACTGACTCAACCGAGGAGAAATAGAGAAAGAAATGCAAACTGACTAGTTGGGTTACCTCCCAACAAGCGCTTCTTTCATGTCGTGAGCCGGACGATTGCTCCTAAGTTTCGGTCCACCCAAAACCCCCCTTAAAGTTGAGGTTCTCGTCAATGAGGTGGAGTCTCAAGTCACGAGCATGTGGTATGACAAGTGAAGGAAGTGATAGACCGTTAATTACACATGTTTTCACCCCTGTTCTTACACCGTTTGAGATGTGGTTTCTCGTGTTTTAGACCGATTTCATGCTAGGTTGTGCTTGTTTGTGATATTTTAGGTCCTGGCAAGTGAATGAAGGTTTAGGAGCGAGTTCGGGGTCGACTGGGCAAAGATCGGGCGTGAGAGAAGTCACAAAGGAAGTCACACGGGCACACCCACAACTCACACGGCCGTGCAAGTGACCACTTTGGCCGTGTGAGATTGTGCGAGAGCAAACATGGCTTGCCCTGATGTTCACACGGCCGTGTGAAGGAGTGGTTTGGCCGTGCGAGTTTCGCCGAAAGCAAACACGGGCAGATGGAAATCTCACACGGCCGTGCGACCCTGGCCGTGTGAGAAGCCTGAAGATTGAACTAATTGGAACGTAGCGTTTTGACTCACACGGGCAACTGGGTAAGCCACACGGCCGTGCCACCCTGGCCGTGTGAGTCAGGATTTTCTGCTTTTAAGAAGATTTTCAGCCACAAGTAGAGGGATTCGAGTTTTTGAGAGAGAGAACGATTCCTAGAGAGAAAGCGACAAACAAGAGTCTCCAAGTGCCCTAGATTGATCTTCATCACCATTGGAGGTCAGTTTGAGCTTGGAGAAGTGCCGATCAACATCCAGGAGCAGGAATCCATCATTCACAGTATGAATTCCGCGTCTGATTCTGCTTTTGCTTCTTTCTCCATGGAGTAGTTCTCCCATTCATCTGGGTATGGAGAACCCTAGATTTGTATGTTAGGCTTTGATTGTATGAACCCAAGTATTGATTCTATGATTTGATTATATTCGATTGAGGTTTGAATGGTTGAATGACTTGAATCCTGATCAAATTCCTGTTGTTTCTGCTTTAACCTAGAACGAGAATATCTGCCTAGGTTGATAGAGTATCCTTGATTGAAGGTAGGGAGTTGGTGACTTTAGTCGAGGAGCCAACTCATTATTCTGTACCGGATTTACTCCGGTAGTGGAGGTTTTGTTTGTTAAGGCCTCAATCTGTTTACTCCGGTGGAGGTTAGTCGCCCGCTAGAGACTCAGATTGAGAGGGTCTGAAGACCTTTAGTCGAGACTTCAGGCTGTTTAAGAACCTTCCGCAGTATAACTATCATAGAAACTGAACTTGGTAATTACAATCCGGCTTAACTGCAGTCTAGGGGGAACCATATCCGGGTGACCTCTCTTAACCTGAATACAACCGTTTGTTTGCTTTGTTAGTTTGTTAGTTTAGACTTGCATTCCAGTTTCATTGCTAGATAACAAGAATTCACCGAGTAGTCATCAAATCTAGGACCCGGGTTGATAATTAAACCTAAACCCGCTATACTACGCTTTAGGAAGTGGTTTCACTTGGCCAATACCTAGGGTGACAGTAGAAGTGAGTCAAGTTTTTGGCGCCGTTGCCGGGGACGGCTAGGTTGTTGAAGAAAAGTGATTTCTGTTAATTTAGCTCTTCTTTTTGCTTTGTTTGCTTTGTCCCACTTGTGCCTTCACGAGTTTGCTTGCTTGATTGTGTGCAGGTAGTGCATGACCCGTAGCCAGTCGGGAGGTTTACTGCCGTTGAATCCAGAGATTGAACACACCTGTCGCCAACTCAGAAGACAATAGCGGGCTAGACTGGCTACGGAAGAGCGCATAGACGGCCACGTGAGCAGTGATTCTGAGGAGGAGTACGAGATGGAAGGCTACAATCAACACCAGGGGAATCCTCAGCAGGCTCCCCCGGTGAATCAGGTCCTGGGGAACAACCCCATACCCCAGGATCATGGGGTTCATCATCATCACCCGCCGCCGGGTCCCACCTTGGAGTACTACTACACTCCGCGGATTGCTGACATCCGCCAGGTCATCCTCTACCCACCTATTCCAGCAAACAACTTCGAGATCAAGCCATGCTGGATTCAGCTCATTACATCCTCTATCCAGTTCCATGGCTTGAAGGATGAGGAGGCCAGGGTACATCTTTCCCGTTTTCTGCAGCTGACGAACGGGTTCAAGCTGAATGGTGTCCCGGATGATGCAATCCGCCTTCATCTCTTCCCCCATTCTCTGGCGGGGAATGCTAAGAGGTGGTTGGAGACCCAGCCCCCATTGTCCATCACCTCTTGGGACGATCTGGCTGACAAGTTCGTGCACAGGTACTATCCGGCATCGAAGACTACAGAGATCCAGCGGGAGGTCACTCACTTCCGCCAAGAGCCAGATGAGTCACTTCGTGATGCATGGGAGCGATACATGGGATATTTCTGGCAGTGTCCCCATCATGGCTTTAGTGATGCATTCACAATGGGGAACTTCTACAGTGCTCTCTCCCCAGATAGCCAGAGGGTGATTGAGTCTCTATGCCCAGGGGGGGAGATTCTTACTAAGACTCCACCCGAGCTGAACCAGATGATCAGTACTTTGGCTGCCAGAGATCATTCTTGGGGACAGGTTAGCCGAGGCAGACAGTCCCGGGACCGTGGTGTGCACGCCATGGAGACCAGATCTGGGCTCGAGCAGCAGGTAGCTGAGCTAGTGCAGACGTTGAAGCAGCCCAACAGTCTTATTCCGGGCAGAGGTTTGGCTACACCTCCAGTTGCTCAATGCCAGTGGTGTGAGAGCTCGAATCACCTAGTGGAGGACTGCCAGGCTATGAGGGAGTCTACCACTCCCTAAGAGCAGTTGGACTTCATCGCCAATGCTCGGCGCCTTGACCCGTACAACAGCTCATATAATGAGGGGTGGCGCGAGCATCCCAACTTCGCCTGGAGCAGCAACACCACTAAACCACCTGGTTTCCCAGCACCAGCAGGTGGTTTTCAGCAGAGGCAGCCCTTCCAGGCTCGACAGGGGCCAGCCCCACAGCAGCAGCCCTACCAGCCTAGGCAGGGGCAACCATTCCAGCAGCCCCAGCGCCAGTTTGCCGAGCCAGCAGCAGCTCCAGCCCCAGATGACCGGATGACAAAGCTGGAAAATATTCTAGCTTCATTCATGACTAGCACTCAGGCTGCTATCACGTCACTGGAGGCAGGTCAGGGGAACCAGGGTGCCATTTTGCAGGATCTGCAGACCCAGGTGGGCATCTTGGCCCGCCAAAACACCACCAGGGCGCCGGGGACTCTGCCTGCCACCACTATCCCGAATCCTCGGGATCCTCACCAGCTCCAGCAGCTGGATGCCATTTTTACCAGGAGCGGTAAGACCATATCTGCTGATCCTGTCTCGGCCAGACAGGAGGAACCACTACCTGCTTCAGCACTTTCAGCCGACGATGCAGAAGTGCGGGTGGAGAAGGAAGCCCCTGCTCCCAAGCCACAACCAGTGGTTAAGGAGCATGTACCTCAGCTTCCCTTCCCCACTCGCCTACACAAAGACAAGCTGGAGACTAAGTTTGCCAAGTTTATGGCAATGTTGAAGCAGCTCAACATCAGCATACCGTTCGTGGAGGCACTGTCGAAGATGCCCAAGTATGCCAAGTTCATGAAAGATCTCCTCTCCAACAAGAAGAAACTTGGGGATCTCTCGACAGTGTTGCTGAGCGAGGAGTGTTCTGCTATCCTGCAGAACAAGCTGCCCGAGAAGCGCAAGGATCCAAGGAGTTTTACTATCCCTCTTACTATTGGCAGCATGCATGTAGGCAAGTCCTTGGTGGACCTAGGCGCTAGCATAAATGTCATGCCATATACGTTGTATAAAAAGCTAGACCTAAGTGAACTTAGCCCTATTAGGATGAGCATTCAGCTAGCTGATCGTTCCATTGTGCATCCTAGGGGAATCATAGAGGATCTACTTGTCAGTGTCGGTGCATTCACATATCTGGTTGACTTTGTTATTCTTGATATACATGAGGATGTGGATGTGCCTTTGATTCTAGGTAGACCATTTCTTGCCACCGCCAAGGCACTTATTGATGTGCATGATGGTAAACTGATCTTGCGTGCTGGGAATGAACAGGCTACTTTTTCTGTGACTGAATTTGATCACTGTGTTATGATTGCTGTCACGCTTGTACATGCCATTTCTGATCAGGTACACGAGCCTGTCGTGTATCCTTCTGCACCTCTTATTTTGCAGGACCCTCCTATCATTCCTTTGCCGCCACTCCATCCAGCCTCACCTCCGAACAAAAAGATCAAGGAGGAGTGGCGGCCGAAGCCGCATGTTGCTAAGCCTGCACGGAAGAAGGGTGGAGACCACTACGAGCTGGTCCCACCTCCTGCACCACGACCACCCTGGCCGTCCGGGTACTCACTCGCCTGCATCTTGCCGGATGGCCAGGTCAAGCTGACCGATGATGGTGGTCGCATCCGTCGGGTGCATGGTCACAACCTGAAGCTGTACCTCAAGAGCGACGTGGATCCGCTCTTGGAGGCACCTGTTCCTGCACCTCCCTGAGTATCCACCATGGGCGTCCAGCTAAACGACGGTAAAGAAGCGCTTGTGGGGAGGCAACCCCACCACGGTTTGACTTTCTTTCTTGTGTTTTGAGTCGGATTGTAAACCAGTTTGGTTTTGGTTTGTTTTCTTTTGTTTTGGATGATGTCTTATTGGGCTGACCATTGGACCTAACATACTGTGTTTGAGCTCTTTGGTTTCCTTTGGCTGTGCTTGTCTTGACTGGTACTCTCTCCAGTCCGCTTCCACCTACTACCTCCAGCCCCCTTACATGTCTTTCCCCCGCACGAGGCTCGAGACATCCGCTCCTGGCATGGCCGGTAAGAGCAGGTTGGGACCCATGAAAGAAAAAAAAAAGAAAAAAATAACAAAAAACAAGCAAAACAGAAAGAAAAGGGGTTCCAACCATCTCCAAGAAGAAAATAGAGCACCTTGAAAAATGTGAGTCCATGATCCTTTGTTTTTGAGAATCTCTTCATCCACAATTCATTTGTCCTCTGTTCACTGTTTGCCATGATGCCGACTCGATACTAGTGCTCTCGCCGAAGAAGCTATGAGATGACTTATCCGTCGGTTGACCTCGTAAGCTACTAAATGATCTAGGAAGTCCTCTGCCTACGATCTGGGTTGTTTGTTGCTATAGAGGTCTGGAGAGTTGCATTGGTTTGAGTTAGGTTTGCTTGGGGACAAGCAAACGGTTAAGTGTGGGGGAGTTTGATAGACTGTTAATTACACATGTTTTCACCCCTGTTCTTACACCGTTTGAGATCTGGTTTCTCGTGTTTTAGACCGATTTCACGCTAGGTTGTGCTTGTTTGTGATATTTCAAGTCCTGGCAAGTGAATGAAGGTTTAGGAGCGATTTCGGGGTCGATTGGGCGAAGATCGGGCGCGAGACAAGTCACAAAGGAAGTCACACGGGCACACCCACAACTCACACGGCCGTGCAAGTGACCACTTTGGCCGTGTGAGATTGTGCGAGAGCAAACACGGCTTGCCCTGATGTTCACACGGCCGTGTGAAGGAGTGGTTTGGCTGTGCGAGTTTCGCCGAGAGCAAACACGGGCAGATGGAAATCTCACACGGCCGTGCGACCCTGGCCGTGTGAGAAGCCTTAAGATCGAACTAATTGGAACGCAGCGTTTTGACTCACACGGGCAACTGGGTAAGCCACACGGTCGTGCCACCCTGGCCGTGTGAGTCGGGATTTTCTGCTTTTAAGCAGATTTTCAGCCACAAGTCGAGGGATTCGAGTTTTTGAGAGAGAGAACGATTCCTAGAGAGAGAAAGCGACGAACAAGAGTCTCCAAGTGCCCTAGATTGATCTTCATCACCATTGGAGGTCAGTTTGAGCTTGGAGAAGTGCCGATCAACATCCAGGAGCAGGAATCCATCCTTCACAGTATGAATTCCGCGTCTGATTTTGCTTTTGCTTCTTTCTCCATGGAGTAGTTCTCCCATTCATCTGGGTATGGAGAACCCTAGATTTGTATGTTAGGCGTTGATTGTATGAACCCAAGTACTGATTCTATGATTTGATTATATTCGATTGAGGTTTGAATGATTGAATGACTTGAATCCTGATCAAATTCCTGTTGTTTCTGCTTTAACCTAGAATGAGAATATCTGCCTAGGTTGATAGAGCATCCTTGATTGAAGGTAGGGAGTTGGTGACTTTAGTCGAGGAGCCAACTCACTATTCTGTACCGGATTTACTCCGGTAGTGGAGGTTTTGTTTGTTAAGGCCTCAATCTGTTTACTCCGGTGGAGGTTAGTCGCCCGCTAGAGACTCAGATTGAGAGGGTCTGAAGATCTTTAGTCGAGACTTCAGGCTATTTAAGAACCTTCCGCAGTATAACTATCATAGAAACTGAACTTGGTAATTACAATCCGGCTTAACTGCAGTCTAGGGGGAACCATATCCGGGTGACCTCTCTTAACCTGAATACAACCGTTTGTTTGCTTTGTTAGTTTGTTAGTTTAGACTTGCATTCCAGTTTCATTGCTAGATAACAAGAATTCACCGAGTAGTCATCAAATCTAGGACCCGGGTTGATAATTAAACCTAAACCCGCTATACTACGCTTTAGGAAGTGGTTTCACTTGGCCAATACCTAGGGTGACAGTAGAAGTGAGTCAGGAAGCTCGTGCACTTGATGCGGATGAAGTCTCCACCCTAAAGACCTCTTCTTCTCTTCTCTCTTTTCATTGCCCCAAACCAGATATGACAACATCGATTGACCACCATCGCGCCCACCAAGAGGGACCAATGTCGATGTGGCCTTGATTTGGCAAAGAGACACTGCAAATGGGTCCTTGCTAAGAAGTTCCTCGAAGTTTGGTGGAGATATCACATGTAACTCATGGTTGGTGCAAGCCTCTTCCACCTCAAATTCGTCCTCGACCTAGACGCCAATTGCTTCTTCAAACCCTTTTCCTTCTTCATGTGGTATCACCCCTGGGAAAAGATCAAGAACTCCTTCTGCTTCACTTTCGTCATCCTCCACAACTTCTTTCTGAACCCTTTCTTGCTCTTCTTCTTCCAACACGGATTGGAGGGCAAGTCGCCAAGCAATTTCTTTGATGTGATCATCTTGAATTTCCTCACTCATGCCCTCCTCTTCAAAGCTCAGTGTGGGATTTGGGAAGGTGTGGTGGGCTACGACAGGACATTCCTAATCATGATCATCACGCGAGCTCTCCGTGACAACTTCTGTCTGCTCCACAATGTCTTTGTAGCCTTCATCTTCGTCTTCCTCTTCTAGTATAGTAGCAGAAGGGTGATCTTGAGAAGGCTGTGCATAAGATTTCTCAAGATCATCGAGGCTCTTCTTAATGCTTAGGAGGATCTCCTTTGTTTCACGATAGGCCTAGGTACAAAGATCCATCTTGGTGCATGATCTCTCAGTGTCTCGAGCAAACTGCTCCATGAGAAGCCTCAATTCATAGTTTGGATATGGTTGTGGTGTGTAGCATGGCTCTGCAGAATGGCCCGTGAAAGGCCGACATGGCTATCTCCAGCTCTGATGGCCCTTCTAGTTGTGGGAGAAATTCTTCTTGATAACGAGGTTGTTCTTGATATGCCCAGGGTTCTGATTGTTCTTCGTAGTAAGGGGATTTGTACTGGAACCCGAATCCATAGTCTTCTCCTCCTTGATTGCTCCAGGGAGTCTCGGGGTAATACCACTCGGACGATGGTGGATACCCCCAATGGTTGGAGAAGCCATGAGGATCCATGATTCAAATCTGCACCAACAAAAACAAAAACACCAAGTGAAAAGCAAGGGTGGAAAAGAAAAGAAAAACTCTAAAGCAACAAACTTGCCTTTCCTAATAATCTAGAAAGTCCCAGGCAACGACGTCAAAAACTTGACTCGCTATGACACAACTCCTAACAATGGCCAAGTGTAACTAATGAAAGGGATTGTAGTATAGTGGCTCAAGTAATAAATATCGAATCCACGGGTCTATAGAGTTACTATTACTCAACTTCAGTTCATTATCTAGCAAACCAGATTAAGATGGAAGAACTAAAACTACTCTAACAAACTACAGTTAAAGTTAATCTAATTACAGGTTGGGAACTCACTTAGGTATGATTCCCCTAGCCACTAGCCAGATTAATGATTGATGATCTCTAACTTGTTTCACTTTCATTCACAATGTGGAGAATCCTTGACTAAACCTTGAATCTCGACTAAAGGATCAAGGCCCACTTGAGTCAATTGCCTAGAGGGACGTATCCTTCTCTAGAACAACCGATCAAGGCGTTCTGAACTAGATTCCCTCTATTGAATGAGGTTCTCAATCGATACAAAGCATTGAATCAACCCTCGACTAAAGAAATTGATCCAATACTATCAATCTATGGTGCTCTATTGACCTAATCATGTATTCGCTCTCATAGGATCAAAGGAGAATCAATAATCTCGACTAAAGTAGAATTGAATCATGAAAACATGCATAGATTGAATATGAACTCAAGATTATCAAGTAAGAGTACTCATACAATCATCCAATCAAACAAACATAGCTAGGGTTCCTCAAAACCTAAGTGAAGGGAAGTTACTCCATAGAGAAGAGAGAGAATGCAGTAAGAATCTTCAGATGATTAGTCTTCAAGTCCGGGCTTGTTCCTCGAGCTTCCAAGGCGAAGAAATCCTCCAATTCCACTCCAAGAATGCCCTCAAATCGCCCTCTCTCTCTTTGGTTCGTCCCTTGGGTGTTTGGGATCCAAAACCCAGCTCCCTCTCTGCAAAAACACACAAAACAGGATTTTAACAACCTGCGTTCGCGATCCCCGGTCATAATCCCCGGTCGGGTATTTCGGGTGCCCGGTCGGGTATTTCGGGTGCCCGGCCGCGGATTTCGAAATGCAGCGCAGCGGTACAGGGGATAATACCCTATCGAGGTCATGAATACCCGATCGGGTATTTTTGCTCTCTGGTCGGGACCCCTTCTATTTCTAGACGTCCAAAATCGATTTTCCCCGGCCTCTCTTAGCGATTTACCCGGCCGGGTATTATTACTCATGGTCGGGTATATTGCTCCTCCAGCCCCCTTCAACTCAAACGTCCTCCTTTTGACCCGAAACTCGTTTCCTCGCCTTAACGTCAACGACAAGCCCTGAAATATGACATAAACACACAACCTAGCGTGAAATCGGCTTAAAACACGAGAATCTCTTCTCCAACGGCTCAAGAATAGGGGTATAAACATGTGTAATTATTGGTCTATCAATGGCTCATTTGGAGATGGACTAGGGGCGACTTGTCATGATTACCGGCTTATTGCATATGTTGGCTACAAAGCCATGTATCAAGAATCAACTAATACGTTGTCTAAGGAACCTCTAGAGCTCACAAACCTATAAAACCATCGAACTAGCCACTAATACGGATAGGATACAAAGAGTGCAGCGATCAAAAGATGAGTCCACCTAGATTCTGTAAATGGCGACCTAAAGGCGAAAATGACACCTGACACTTGAGCTTTTGACCAATTTGTGGTTCTAGTAAGTTGCTCTGGAGGCTGAGTAAACCCCCTATTCAAAGTAGTCATCAAATGAGGATCGAAGGGGTCTATTTTAGGCCTTTCCATCAAGTTTTTCCAAGTGATTTAGTATGCATTATAGCATCAACAGGTCTACCGAACGAGTTAGGGAGAGTATTTTGGTCTTTTTTATTGCAATTTTCGATGGAGTTTATTATTATTATTATTATTAATTTCTTAGTTAATACATAACAAGTAGTTGAGTCCTAGATGGAGTGGGTTGGTAGACAGTCAGGAATGGGTAGGATTAGGGTTTGTGTCTTTTTGTTAATAATAAGTACATTTATGTACATTTGAGACCACTTCCAAGACCTGGAGAGTTTGGCCGCAAGAGTTAGAGCTACGAAAGCTACCAATTTCCAATACCCCGCAACTAATCACGCCAATCTCAAGATCTATGCTTGTAGTTCCATTATGAAGAATTTATGCAGCCGCAAATCCCTTCACCACAGTTGTACCAACACCCTCTTTTTTGTAAATCCCATTCACCAACCATTAGTGTGTGGTGCGTCTGAGGGACACGGGATTTTTGCTTCTTCAATTACATGTAACATTTCCTCATGACCATGAGTTTTACTACTTGGTGGCGAATCAGTACCCAACTCATTATCTTGTTGTTACGAGGTTGTGAAGAAAGGAGTAAGGAAAGAAGGAATCATAGCCACCAATGATTAGCGACCTAGAGCGGAGGTCTTCACCATAACAGGTTTTCCATTGGACGTCACGAAAAGCTAAGAACTAGTAAACATCGCTGGACTAGCCGTGGAGCTGTCTCCCAAATGGAAGAGTATTTTTCCAAATACAAGCAACCTCTTATGATTATCGGTTCTGGCTAGCCAATGACCACTATCACATCCGAGGTCGTCACAAAGAATGGCAATCTTGAGAGCTCCAAAATGTAGAAACTTTCTTATGTTTCCAGGGAAGAATCGACCGCTAAGGGGTGAGGCCACACAAAAAAGCACTTTATCGACACATTTTTTTATACGGAGGAGACGGACGTTGTTGATTTAATTTATATGGCTCAAGGTTTGATGGTGGCCAATGAGATGGCTGTTGACGGTTCCCCAACGAGAGATGTGGCCTCCATGAAGCTAATTTCATGCTAAGTGAAGGGTGTGAATCCCATTATTTTCATGGGACAACTACTCCCGTTGATGCTTGTGACAACATAGGGGAGAGTCTCTACAGGAACTGGATACATAGGAAGACACGGGGAAAGAAGTTAGTAGGAATCTTTGTATTGCCAGAAGTAGATATGCACATAAGCAGAGTCGTGCCAAGATTGGATGGCTCAATCCAATCCATGTGATTGGATCAGTGCGTGGGTGTGTTGGGAATTGAATGGGAGGTTTGATCGGGGGTCTACTATACAATTTTGATCCAACGCGTTCTAAAGTTAATTTTCTAGGTGGAAAGACGACCAACTCTCCCTTCAATTGCTTCAAGTGTGGTGGAAATATGAAGGTAGATTCACAAAAAACCAACCATCAATGATAGCATGAAGAGGTTTGAGTCGCATGGGTCCAACGAAAATAATGCAAATGGAGTTGAGGAAAAAGAAGACAAAATCTACAAACATGAGACAAATAATGCCCTGAGCCGCCAACTTGGGTTACGATAAACAATTTGGAACAGCGTTTCTGGAAAATGATGTCCGAGTTAGAATCCCTTTATGTTTTCTTGTTAATTTGTTGAAGAGAATGGATGGGTTGGCTTTATGTTGAATTCTCTTTGTGAAAAGTTTAGTTCTCAACCATCCTCACCCATAATACTCACCTTCATTTTTATTGATAGTTGGTTGATAAATTTTTGTTTGATGGTGGATGACCTTCATGTCGTGTTCAACAAATTTAGGGCTATAATTAACCAACTCGATGTTGTTTGTAGATTTATATTACTAGTGAGTCATCACCAATGCATGCATATAACCTAGCCATCAATTATCTTGACGAGTAACTTGAGTGCTTGATATCCACATCTGTGGTATGGAATATTATTCGATTCTTTTGAATTTTTAATCACCAAGCATGTGTGAAGAAAATACTTGTAGTTGTTATGTCTATTATGGAGTATGCTTGAGCTCTTTTACTTCGTTAGCAGCTATTGTGCATCACGCTTTGACTAATCAATTTAAAATAAAACCGAATTCCTTGGTCTTTGTACTTCCTAGTTGTAATTTATATTGCAAATTGCAGATCACATTTGTATCTTTATGATTTTCTTGTGGATGCTTTGTACCATCTATATTTTACCGACTAGGAGTAATTCGATGCTTTACAGTAACCGATGGGTTCTTACAATTTTGTTCGTTTTTCCTCTATCTCACTTTACATGATATTGAAATCATCATCTACACCATGCAATTCTCCTTTTAGATTGTGTTGTTGGATTATCAAAACTGAGGTCTTGTGTGAGAGATCTGAACCTGAAAGAACATCCCCAACTGGCCCTAATTCTGGGCATTGTTGCCAGTCATTCATTCCAATTGTCAATATCGAGTCCACCCTTCCTCCTCTTCCTACAATAATAAGCGCATACTGCCCTTCCAACGACCTCAATGTTGAATAAGTTGCAGCTGAATTAGCTAAATGCTTCTCCATATATGCAACATACCCAGCAGCAACATGGGTCTCGTAGAATTGAGCAAAACATTCATCGTCGAGCTTCACTTCTTCTTCCTTCTCTGCCATGTTCACTCTGTAATTACCTCTCCTAGAGGCCTCTGAACTGTCATCTAGCAAGAACCTTAACACTGTGAGCTTTACTCCTGAGTGCCTTGCTACCCTGCCTGCATATGCCAGTGCTTCTCTGTCATCTCTCCCGCCAATGAAAATAACAGCCACAAGAACTGACTTAGACATCTTTGATATGCTATCTAGAGCTCCAAATCCTCTGTCTACTAGGATCCCAACAGAACATGGAGCATTCCTCAGCACCTATTAAAAAAAGAATAGAAATGACATGCCATCCATTAGCTAATACATATTTGGAAATACACCTTCAAGTATAGGGGAAATGAGGATACACAGGTTTTTTTGTTTCTCAATTGTATACCTTACGGTTCACATATCTGAATCCAGGATTGCCATTATCTAGTGATCCATCTGGTTTTTGTGTTTTATGAAAAGGAAGTATAATTAGGGTGGCCATCAAGTCCTCCCCTAATAGGAAAATGTCTTGAGCCATTCCATTGAATGTCGAGAGAGCAAGCATTCTTCTAATCGTGATGCCTTCACCACTTTCATCTACATAAGCTTGTATATTGGAGGAGATGAGATCTCTCATCTCTGTCACATTTTTGTCCGTTACAGTCACAGTGTCTAATCCATCACTCTGCACTAATGTGGCTGCAATTTGGTCTGTGAGTTCAACCATGTCGGTCACAAAGACCATCATCCCAGGGTCAGGTGACCCTCGACTTATCTCCATGAAGTTGATTGATGAGTCAATGTTATGTGGACCATGAAGGCACAATAAGACTCGAATCTCATTCACGGGTTCAAGCATTTGAAGCGCTCTCTGATGTGTTGGAGCACGCTTTCTGGCACGTGTGATGATTTGCATTACGACTGATGGAGCTTGCACAATTGTGAGGAAGATTGCAAAAAGGATCATAATGCTTGTGGAAGTAGGTATGACTTTGTACTGTTTTAACGTATAAGCCAGTGTAACAAAACCAAAGGGAATCATAAAAGAGAAACAAAACACAACTTTAAGTTACTTGCATTATGAGAAAAATTGACATTAGTCTGAAATTAATGAAAATATGAGGAGATATACTATGACTTACCACTCGACCAATAACAGCAAGAAACACATGGAAATGACCTTTTACTGTCAATAGGAGCCCAAGTTCTGTGGATTCACGCCAATGAAAACCTAGCATTGCTCCGCAAATAACTGTTCCAATAAGCTTCCCAAACAATGCTATTGCTATAAGAAGAGAGAGGCGTGCCCAAGTCATCCAATGGCTGACATGAAACTCACTAAAATCAGCATGAATCCCCATCCAGAAGAAGAACACCGGATAGAAAACTGTTGTGAGCAAATAGTTAATCTTCCCAACTGCCCATTTGGACACCCTGCCTTCATTTGGAAGAAAAATTCCAGCCATAAATGCACTGAGGATGGGGCTATACCCATACATAGGGGAGGCACTACAAACCATAACCATGAATGCAATGGTAAGCACTAAATGCGAACCCTTCATAGGTTTCCCTTCAGGGTTCTCATTGTTGACCCAATTCATGAATATTGGTGAAATTTTGGCTGCAAAGATGGTTTGGAGAAGTAGTGCAGCACCCATAGTTAAGGCTTTAGTTATCCGAGTCGGCATATCCATTTGATATGTAGGTGCAAAGAGATAGCCAAAGCAGAGGAGGAACATAGAGACCAGGTCAGAATGAAGCCCGGCTGCAATCACAAGCTTTCCAATGTCTGATTTTCCTATTTTAAGGTTGGTTATAATCCGTGTTAGTATAGAAGAGCCGGTCCCAGATAGTGACAAAGATAAGGTAACAGTGAAACCAAGGGTGGCATTTTTGTTTGTGTAATGCAAAAATGGGGTCGTCCCACAAACCAAAAGGAAAGTTGAGACCATCCCTGCATAGGCCACCATGGCATCTTGAGATGGTGATTTGAAAATCATATATGGGTTCATCTCTAATCCTAGAGC